GGTGAGACCTGCAGAATGGAACCAGCTGCAGGGGAAAGTCATGGGAAGAACATTCCTGGCAGAGGGAAACTGCAAGTTCAAAGGTCTCAGGGTAGAAATTAACTGGCCTGAGGCCATCTGGCTAGAAATTAGTGGAACAGAATCATTAGAAGAGTTAATGTTTATTGAGCATACACTATGTGTCAGTTACTTTTAAACTTCAAAATCCAAGAAGTAAGTGCTGTTGTTTTTACTTTACAAATGGAGAAACAAGCACAGAGGTGTTAAAAAAATTTTGCCCAACATCACACGGTAGTGGCAGAAGCAGGATTCAAATTCAGGCAGGTTAGGTCCCAAGTCCATGCTCTCAACCCCTATACTGTTCTGCTTCTAATTCGAAGACCTTTTTAAAGGTCATGCAGCTAAATAGTTCTGGCCCTGAGCTTTGAGTCTCGGTCTCACTGCCTAGATTTGTCTGCAGGATGAAAATGTGCTGACACAGCTGGGGGCCTCTCCTGCCTTCTTGGCAAGTTTCTTTTTGCAGCGGAGACAATCATTTATTCACTCAGCAAACATGAATCAAGCATCTGCTATGTGCCAAAGTTGTTTGAGATTCTGGGCATACTGTGCTGAACAAGGCAGACAGAAGTCCCTGCTACCATGAAGCTTACATTCTAGTTAGAGGAGTCAGCAATAAACAAATAAGTTAGATTATTAGATTGTTTTTATTATTTTCTTCATAGCACATGTTAGATTGGTAACAAGTGCTGTGAAGAAAAATAAAACAGGGTAGGGAGGGTAGAATGAGCTATTAATAAACTAATGTCAAGGCCTGTCTGAGAAGGTGACATTTAAACAGAGAACTAAAGAAGGTGATGTAGCAAAAAAATAAAAAGAATAAAAAATAAAGGTAAAAAAGAAAAACAAAAATAAACATAAAGAAGGTGATGCAGGAGTGAGCCATGGACACTCTGAGGGGAGAGAGCATTCCAGGTAGACGTGAGAGCAAGTGCAAAGTACTGGGGCAGAAACATTCTTGTCATGTTTGGGGAAAATCAAGGAAGCCAGTGTGGCTGTCTCAGAGTGAGCAAGGGGAATGGTGGGAGATGAGGTCAGAGAGGGAATGGGGAGATGGCAGATCATGTAGAGCCTCATGGGCCATGGTAAGACTTATATAGCTTTTACTCTGACTGAAATGAAATCCACTGTATGTTTTTGAGCAGAGGAGGGACTAGGTCTGATTTAAACTTTATATGGATCCCTCTAGCTGCTGTATTGAGCATAGACAGCAGTGGGTGAGGGTAGAAGTAGAGTCTAGTTAGGAGGCTACATTGGTAGCACTAGGGACAGATGGTGGCCTAGACCAGACTGGTGAGGGGATGTCAGAACTGGGGGGCACAGGGCCAGCCCATGGTTCACTTGGGAGAGTGTGGTGCTGATAACCACAGGTTCGGATCCCTACATAGAGATGGCTGGTTAGGTCACTTGGGAGAGCATGGTGCTGACAGCACCAAGTCAAGGGTTAAGATCCCCTTACCGGTCATCTTTAAAAAAAAAAAAAAGAACTGAGGGGCACACGTTAAAAACCTGATATCTCTCCTGGCTGTATTCCACAAGCTCCACCCATATCCAAACAGGAGAGACCAGTGACCCTGCCTCTTGGTGGGAAGGGTTACAGGGTTCTGAAGAGCACACAGGTCTAGAAATATTGCTGTGGCCCTCTTTGGAAAATATAAATGCCACCACACTCCTATGAAATGGTGATAATTCTGGAAACTGTGTTGTGTGGACTAGATAACATTAACACATAGAAAGCTCTTTGCCTGGAGGACCCCTACCCAGAGGTCCACAACTCACTCCTTTGCTTCCTTTGGGTCTTTGCTGAAATGTCTCCCCCTAAGCAAGGCCCTCCTTGGACTCCTTGTGTAAATAGTGACCTGCCGACTTACTTGGCATCCCTTTTTCTCCTGTGTCACTCTGTTGTCCTCCATAGGACTATCTCCATCTGACCAGTTGCTATAGTTTGGATATGTTTATCCCCACCAAAAACCTCATGTTGAAATTTGATCCCCAATGTGGCAGTGTTAGGAGATTGGGCCCAGTGGGAGGTGTCTGGGTCATGGGGGTGGATCCCTCATGAATAGATTAATGCCCTCTGTGGAGAATGAGTGAGCTCTCATAGGAATGGATTAGTTCCTGCAAGAGCAGGTTGTTAGAAAGAGTCTGCCTTCCCTGGTTTCTCTTTCTTGCCACCTCTCTTGCCGTGTGATCTTTTGCACATGCCAGCTCCCATCCCGTTTTCTGTCATAAGTGGAAGCAGGCTGAGGTCCTTACCAGATGCAGTTGCCCCAGAATCATGAGCCAAATAAACCTCTTTTCTTTATAAATTACTCGGGTATTCTGTTACAGCAACATAAAAACAGATTAATACACCTGTTAAACAGTTACTTGCTCATTTGTTTATTAAATTGCCTTTCCCCACCAGCATGTGAGCTTCTTGAGGTCAGGAGCTGTGTTTGTTTCCTTTGCTCCTGTCTCCCCAGAGGCTGGCACAAAAGAGTTCAGTAAATAATTATTGAATGGCTGCATGAATGAAAGGCATAAGCTGGCTATAGCCGGTGCTCAGTAAGCATTAACCATTACCTTTCACGTATACATGAAGTGAGCCTGAGTCAGCCTCCACCTTTGTTCACTTACAGGCCACTGTTACGATGGAATTTCCAGCCCACTGAATCCAAGGACCAGACTGTGACCACTTAAAGGTACCATCCCCTCAGGCATATGTCCCTTAAATAGCCTGTTCCCCACCAACAGCCAGTTCTTGCTTTTCTCCTCTGCATTGCCCACTCTGACCACCCCCCAACCCCCCAACTTTACTCCCAGGAGGAACATCATTGTGGGCATGGCAGGATTCATCTGGTTAGGTACTTGCTTCATCCTGGAGGCTGTCTTTATCCCATGGCACCTGGAGAAATTCCACTTAACCTGAAGCTACTTAAAACTGCTACAGATTTCCAAACAAAACTTTTGTTTACATATGAAATCTAACAGTGTTGGTGTATGATTAGTCAGACTAGGCTAAGCTATGCTGCAATAACAAACACCCTCAAATCTTAGTGGCTTAACACAAACACAGATTCTTTGTCACTAACACAAAGTCTGGACAGCTCTCCAGGGCAGCAGCCTCTAGGCAGTTTTGATCTTGTGGCTGCAACGTCAGCACATGGGCTTCAGGTTTGTCACAGCATGAAGGGAGAAGAGGCAGTGAATCCTCTGGCTTAACAAAAACACTCAGTAGTATCTGTACCTTTGAGAAGACAGGATGTCCATTTTAATGTTATTACCAGGACAACAAATCATTAGGGCAACAAATCATTAGGACAACAAATCATTGACAGCCAGTCAAAATGACAGACTTCTTAGAGGGTAACCATACTTGACAACAGTCTTTGCTGTCCGGGTGTCTTATACAACTTCTTCGTTTGAGATAACAGAAGGGCAGTTTTATGCCCCAGAATGATTTCTGCTCTTCAGCCCAAGGGAAAGAGGAATGATTTTTTCCTCCTCTGGCTGAGATTTCTTTCACTAGCTGTTTGGAAGATCTCTGGTTTTCAAGGGAAAGACTTGAATTCTATAAGTCAGCACTGAGAAGAAACAGAGGCCAGAGAAGCTCAGACCTTATGTAATGGAAAAAGAAAAGACAAAAATAGAAATACTAAGAAGTGGAATACAATAAGCGGGATACAGAGCATGATATACTAATAGCAGCCACTAACGTAAAAGGCTTTCTGTGGGCCAGGCTGTATTCCCAGAACCTCATATAAATATATTCATTTAGGCCTCAGCAACCATTCTCTCAAGTACTGGAAGAAGCCCCATTTCACAGCTGGGCAGACTGAGGCACAGAGAGGTTAAGTAATTTGCCCAGCGTGTAGCAGATCTGGAGCTCAAATTCAGGCAGCCTGGGACTAAACATTTAATTTTAAGGATCTCACTGCAGTTACAACAGAGGCCAAACTTTACGGTGAATAAAGGAAAAGGGTTTGATTAGGACTTTCTCTTTCAAGGTGAAATGAAATCATGAGCACACATTTATTTTGACTTCTATTTTGATATTCTAGTTAATTGCTACTGTACGCTAAGCTTTAGAATATAAGAACAAATAAAATATCTTTTTTTTTTCTATTTAAGAGCTGTTCATTTGAAGTGCTTGCTGTTGCACTGTCATCCTTGTTGATTTTCTCCTCTTCACTTATTAACTGGCCTGTGTCATTTGTCATAGGCCTGTGTGATTTTGTTTTTGATTTTTAAAAAGTATTAGGAAATATTTCAGTGATACACAGAACATAGAGAACAATGTAATGAACACCAGTATTCCCACTAAATTAGTCAGGATAGGATAGGCTGTGCTATAGTAACAAATAAATCCTGAAATCTTGGTGGCTTAATACAACACAAGTGTACTTGTCGATCATGAGATTCCAATGTGGACCAAGCAGCCCTCCTTCATCTTGTTGCTACGCTACCTGGGATATGAAGCCTCAGCCAGGAGATGACTTCTGGTCACACCAGGTTGGCCAGAACTAGTCATGTGTCCCCAACCTAACTGCAAGGGAGGCTGGGAATAGGGGAGCATATAGATATTTGGGGAGCATTAACTGTCTCTCCCATCTCCATTGTATGTTTTAAGAAATGAACTTTACAAACACAGTTGAAACACAAATCCCTGGATATGCCTCCACCTCACTTACTCTGTGATTGGAGCAGTTCTTTTTTTTTTTTTTTTTTTTTTTTTAAATGACCGGTTAGGGGATCTTAACCCTTGACTTGGTGTTGTCAGCACCACGCTCAGCCAGTGAGCTAACCAGCCATCCCTATATAGGCATCCAAACCTGTGGCCTTGGTGTTATCAGCACCACACTGTCCCGAGTGAGCCACGGGCTGGCCTTTGGAGCAGATCTTTGACATAACTTTCATTGACCTCAGGCTTCCCGTTTCACTTTATGTTTGTTTTGCCTTGTGTCTACCCTGGACCATTAAGGAGGGACAGATGGCTAGAGGCTCAACACAGTGGTCAGGAATTCATTTCAGAAGTGGCCACTCTAGGGAGTATACTCAAGGTATGATAGCTTTTCTTCTCTTCACAATCACATCACCATGGGGGACTGGGATGACTGTACACAGACATTGGGTTAAGTTTTTCTTTCAGCTTCCTGTTTCCTCCCCCCACCCATGTTCTGTATTGTAGCATGATCTCCTTCTGTCCAGAATGTGGCAAAAGTATCGAAGCAACATTCAAATTCTGCCCCTACTGTGGAAAACCTTTGCCTACAGAGGAGGACGTGGGGTCCCAGATCTCCTTTGTCAAACCACATGTGTCATCCTTCCGAGGTAAGAATCAGGCTTTGAGCTTGTCCCTGCAGTAGGGGTGAAAAGAGAGAGAGAGAGAGAGAGAGAGAGAGAGAGAGAGAGAGAGAGTGTGTGTGTGTGTGTGTGTGTGTGTGTGTGTGTGTGTGTGTGTGTGTGTGTGTGTTTGGGGAGGGTGAACAGATGCAGTAGGGGTGAAGAGTGTGTGTGTGTGTGTGTGTGTGTGTGTGTTTGGGGAGGGTGAACAGATGCAGTAGGGGTGAAGAGTGTGTGTGTGTGTGTGTGTGTGTGTGTGTTTGGGGAGGGTGAACAGATGCAGTAGGGGTGAAGAGTGTGTGTGTGTGTGTGTGTGTGTGTGTGTTTGGGGAGGGTGAACAGATGCAGTAGGGGTGAAGAGTGTGTGTGTGTGTGTGTGTGTGTGTGTGTTTGGGGAGGGTGAACAGATGCAGTAGGGGTGAAGAGTGTGTGTGTGTGTGTGTGTGTGTGTGTGTTTGGGGAGGGTGAACAGATGCCTTTGCAGCCTGTCTGACCCTCCCCTGATACTGAAGAAGCCCAGGGCTCAGGCCTGGACAACTCTGTCTGTACTCAGTCCCTTGGCGTTTTATTGGTCTCATGGCTTTACACACTGTCTGTATTTTGAAAATTCACACATTTCCATCTCCAGCCTGGAATCCTCCCCTGAACTCCAGATCCACCTTTATAGCAAACAGCCTGCTTGACATTTATTGGCATCTCAAATCTATTGGAGGTGTCTTGTGTGCATCTCAGTCTGGACATGCCCAGAACTGAGCTCCAGATATTACTTCCCACAGCCCCACCACCAATCTGCTCCTTCCATAGACTTCCCTATCCCAGGAAAGAGCAACTCTATTTATCTGGTTTCTCAGGTCAGACCTTAGAGTCATCCTTGAGTCCTCTTTCTCCTACCCCACATACATCCAACCCTTCAGCAAATCTTGTTGGCTCTCCCTTAAAAATCATTGCAGTATCAGACCACTTCATACTACTCCCTCAACCACCACGCTGGCCCATCCCACCCTCACTTCTCACCTGTATTGTTCTAGAAGTGTTCTTCCCCTGGGCTTCCTGCTTCTTCTCTTGACCCTACAGTCTCCTTCATGTGGCAGGCACGAGTATCCTGTTAAAACAGACTCAAATCCTGTCATCCCTCTACTTAGCACTTTCCCATGTGAGGCTTGACATTATCAGGTCACTGTTCCCTCTCAGACCTCCTTCCTAACCCTCCTGCTGTTGCTTATGCTCTTCCAGCTACACTGGTCTCCTCACTGTTCCTCAACACCTCAGCCATGCTTGGGCCTCTACACCTTTGCACTTGCTGTTCCCTCTGTCTGGGTGGTGCATCCCTCATCTGCCTGCATAACACACTTCCTCATTCCCTTCAGTTCTTTCTTCAGTCGTTACCTTCATAGAGATGCCTTCCCTGACATCCATAATTAAAACCATATCTTCCCTACATGCAATGCTCCTATCCCCCTTCCCTGCTTTATATTTCCTTTTGGTACTTGTATCAACCCTATTAAATACAATCTTTTACTTATTTATATTGCTGCTTGTCTGCAAGCTTCATAAGGACAGGAATTTACTGTGTTTTGTAACCTGCTGTTTGCACAGCACCTGGGACTGTGCATGGTACAGAACTGGGTGCTGAAAAATCTTATTGACTGATTCAATGAATGGTCAGCAGTAGGTCCCAACCAATGGAAAGCCCACGCCCAGGCCCAGATACTACACTATTAAATCAAAGAGCGCTTGCTCATCTGAAGCATACAGAAGGAAGTCAGTGTACATGGCAGGGAGTTCAACAACATTCATTTTATCATTTGGGATTGCATTTGGCTGCCGGTAACAGAAAATGCTATGACAGGGGTTTAAAGGGGACAGTCAGTGTTGGGATGGTGTCCCCATGATGCCATAAGGGACCTGGGCTTCTCTTGTCTTTCAACTCAGCCATCCTTAGCATGTGTTTTTTGTTCCCATGCTTATTGCCTCAAGTTCTCAAGATGGCTTCTCCATCTCCAAAATTGTGTCTGCATACCAGGCAGACACTAAGAGTATTTACCTAGGCCCAACTAAAGAATCTGAGTTCTTAATCCCTGCCTTTTCTAATGCTAACTTAGGGGCCATTTCATTATTTATTCACTCAGTCACCAGACAACAAATATATGTGGACAACCTACTAGGTGCTAGGTGCTGTATTTTTCCTTAAGGATGTAGTAAGAGATGAGATAGACCTGGTTTCTGGTCTCTCAGAGCTTTTATGGCCCAGGAGGGAAAACAGACATTGAATAAGCAATTATTAGTAGAGTATATGTTAACAGAGTGGAAATAGATGGACCATGCAACATCTATAGGGGGACGGGTTTCTGGGAGGGTAAGGGAAGGCCTCCTTAAGTGGGTAACATTTGAGCCAAGACCTAGGGATGAATAAGAATTACCTAGGTGAAATGTGGGGACGAGGTGAGGGGATTGGAACAAGCATTCCCGGCACTGGGGCATGGTATAGAGAAAGGCTATAAGGTGGGTGGAGGAATGAAGGACAGCATTGATTGGGGGCAGATATCTGGGGCTGTGTAGGCCATGGGTAAGGAGATTGGTCTTAACCATTTGTGTGTAAAAAAAAACAAAACACACACCAAGGTGCTTTTTCCTTTACTTTTACTTAGTAACAAAACAAAAAATCAAAATCAAAATAATCAAAACAGAAGACTACCTTCTGACTTCTGTGATCAAATGTGTGGGGATGCCCTCCAGTTCAGTTCCAACACTATCTGCCTGGAGGTAGTGTCAGATTCCACAGGTTGAGGACTCAGTCCCCTAGACTGCCCCTCAACCGTGCTTCAGATGCTAACCACCAGTTCAGGCCTCTGGAACTTCTGACCAACCAGCTATAAATCAGGATTCCCACAAACCCCATCTTGGGTTTGATAAATTTGCTGAGCAGCTCACAGAACTCAGGGAAACACTTAGGTTTATCTGTTTATTACAAGGATATTTTAAAGGCCCAATGAAGAGATACACAGGGTGAGGTCTAGAAGGGTCCAAAGCTCAGGAGCTTCTGTCCTTGTGGAGTTGGGATATGCCACATTCCTGGCGGGTAGAGGCAAAAACTTCCACATGTTCACTCTTTGGAAGCGCTCCAGACACAGGCCTCTTAGGTTTTTATAGAGGCTTCATTACATAAGGCATGATTGATAAAATCATTGGCCATTGGTAATCAGCTTAACCTTCAGTCCCTCTCCCCTCCCTGGAGGTTGGGGGGTAGAACTGAAAGTCCTGTCTGAGTCTTTCCTGTGACCAGCCCCCATCCTGAAGCTTCCTAGGGGCTGCCAGCCATCAGTGGCATACAAAAGGACTCATCACTTTGGAGATTCTCAGGATTTTAAAACTTTTGTGCCAGGAGACTAGAACTAAGACTAAATATATGTTTTCACAATATCACACCGTTGGTGTAGTAGAAAATGGTGGAAGAGTTCCTACCAAGTAGGTGACACAATATTGTTAAGGGAAACTGAGGAATTTGCAGGTTCCGCTATCTAAGTCCAGGTTCTTGGGGTCTTGAACAAAGAATTGGACGAGACATGCCAGAGGTGAAAATCAAAGAGCAGTTTTATTTAGCAAAGAGAGAATACATTCTAGAGAGGATGGGGCCAGCTCGAGCAAGAGAGAATGGCTCGAGAGCATTGACAGGTATATTCCCAGGGGTTTAAATCCTTTTAGCTGGATATGTGTGGTTTGGTCATTGGTTGAGCCCTGGTAGTCTTTGTTGATTGGCACCTTAGCTGGTGGGAGCTCATTGGTCCAACTGAATGGTGCCCAACATAGGGGCGGAGCACCCTATCTGTCTTTGTCTCCTGTGGCTGTTTTTGCTCATATGTGCATGCCTAGGTGCGCAGGGAACCATTTGTACTGGTTATCCTATTTGCAAAAAATCAGTTTCCTCTTCCCATTCTTGTCTTTTTCTAACTTCCTACGACAATATGATTGGCATTTTGGAAAGACTCTGGCTATGTGTGGAAAATGGATTGGAAGCATGGAAACAAGTTAAGAGTCCATTCCAGTAGTCCAGGGACGAAATCATATTGCCTGAGTTAGTGTCAACTAAAAGAAGAAGACTTTTTCAGCCATATGGCAAACCAGATGATAGGCAAAAACCCTGTATGGATCAGCACACCCAAATATGTTGGATAAAATATAATGGAACATCTTTTTTAATATAGGGTTAAGTGGCAGGAAAGTAAGGGAATTCCATGGAAGTGAGAAACAGTAAGAAAACAAAGGTCCACAGGACTAAGCAAGTGTTATAGTGTTATTTGTCCTGGGGCTATTTGCTGGTGTTCTTGAGCCTGGGTTTTATTTGGGGTACAGGAGACAAAGCTTAGAGCCTGAGCAGTGCAGGAAGCAAGATTGTAAACCTCTTAAACCCGGAACTCCTCAGTGGGTAAACTAAAAGAAAAAAAATTGCTCCACAGAAAAAATTGGTGGAGACATTTGTCTGTCTCAGCCCTGGTTGTGGGTGAAAAAAAGGAAGAATGTCTTCTTTGAGAATTCCTAACCAAGAACTCACATTCTCACCCGTTTGGGGCCAGAATTCATACTAATACCTGTGGCAACATCATAGCTAAACATTTAATTTAAAGTGGCAAGATAAGAGCATTGCTCCCCACCCCCCCCAAACCCAAGACATAAACAATTCTTCTCTTACAAAACACCCTTTAAAGATAGACCTTAGAGAACTCCCACAGACAAGCTTCCAAGGAACATGAGCTCCCAGTCAAAAGTCAACAGATACACCAGGAAACAAGCCAGCATGAGAGTCAGCAGAAATAACAAACTACAGAATCAGACCTGTGAAGACCACAGACCTTAGAATTAATGGATGAGAATATTTACAAAGCATGTGTAATATGTTTAAAGAAATATAGGAATAAATTCAAAGTATGAAGGAACAAAAGTTAGTTAGAATTGACCAGGCAGATTTGAGGAGGAATCAAATAAAACCTCTAATGATAAAAAAATATATATATTATCATCACAATCAGAAACACAGTGGTGTTTTAAGTAGCAAACTAG